CTCTTCTTGAAGATCCAAATTTTTTTGTTTACGCCAATACATTTCATCTAGGCTATTTGAAATGGACAAATCTAATTCATTTTTCATTTCTTACACTTGACATCCCACTGGACATGCCAAAAATTGATGGCTTATTTTTCCTACGAAGGAAAATATCATAAATGCGAGCGTGCCAATAAGGATTGAAAAATTCTTACAGATTGAATTCAAGTCAATTATCAAGCGATTGCGTTGACGGCTTTTTTACCTCAATGAAGATGACTCCAAAATTGCCAAGTTAAAGAAAAGAAAAATTAAAAGAAAAAAGAGGGAGACGGAGAAAGATGATTGAGTGAATAATCAAACTAACCATTAATTTATCTCTACTCCTATGTTTCGAAAAGGAAGTGCATAAAATAAAGTGAATAGAACTTACCTCTACTCCTATGCTTCGAAAATGAAGTACATAAAGTAAAGTGCAGAAAATATAAATGACAAGAAAAATATAAATCAATTGTCTTTGATTTGAGTTATGGATTCTTTACAATGTAGCCATGAATGACTATTTATAAACAAACATTTATAGAAAAAAAACTACCTAAAACTACTCACTCTTCCACCTCTTCCATTTTGTATTACATGATCTTCCATAACTTCCTTCAACCTCCACTTCATGCTCCATGTGCTTCACTTTATTCTCCATCATCTTTTCATATTTCATAACTTCTCATAACCTCCAAATGAGTAAGAGGATGCCACATGTCCTGCAATTATATATATAAATAATAAATAATAATAATAATTACAGATTTATGGTGCCAATACAAGTGATGGTCGATGGTACCAAAACTTGTGAGTGTGTTAGTAAGATAATTATTAATAAATGTATTAGTATCCCTAACATTGTTGATAAAAATAATATATAAAATTCTATTTGTATATCATCTTTAGTTTTGGTTTAATGGATATTGTCTTGGTGGTGGGAAAATAAGCACACGTTTAATTTTTTTTTAATTTTATTTTAGTTGTCCGATTACCTGCCAATTAGTCAAATTTATTAGAATTTTTATATAAAATTATGGGGTTTCTTGTAATCTTTTTATTTTCTATCAAAACACTCACCATTGTCTTTATAATTTCAAAAATATCATTGACACATTATTCTAAATGTGTTTTTAGTATAAAATTCCTTTTTTTTTTTTATCAGCAAAGAAAAATTTTATTAACAACATGAAATTAAAGTTACAGGAAGATGACATGCATCGAGAAAGATTCAAAAAGTACAAATTAACCCCTACTACTGCTACTCGCATCTATACAACCAACCCCTTGGTCTCGCGATTTTTTTTTTTAATGCAAAATAAAAGATAGACAAAAAAAAATAACTAGAAAATAAAAAACATGAATCCTCACAAAATCAACCCACACAACCCAAAGCCAAAACACTCAAGCTGCTCTTCACTCCTCTTTTCAACGAACCAACATCTTCTTTTTCAACACCCAATCTGCTGGACTACTCTTTTCAACAAACCACACTCTACTTTTCAATCCAAAATTCATATTTGTAACTTATTTTCTTGTAGATGGCTTTGCACGGATCAAATAAAGGACAAAATTAAAATAGATATGGATCAAACTAAATATATTAAGTATAAAGACATTTTTTTCTTGAATGCTACTATTTTTTCTAATGTATCCTCAGGACATTGATTAATAAAATTTAAAATAATTATATATTGTTTACAATAAATATTTATAAAAAAATGTATAACAATTTCATACTTGCTAACTTATGGCATTCAACCAAGTAGCTTTGGTCGTTTGGTACGCTACAAATGCAGAATAACAAAACGATATCGTTGCAAGTTTGACATAATGATTGCACCCGCTAAAATTATTTTCTGCGACAATGCTACGTAGCTCAAATTTTGTGGCTTAAAAGTGGCTCAAATGGCCAAAACGACATCGTTTTGAGTACAGAACAACATAAAAATGGCCAAAACGACGTCGTTTTGGTCATTTGAGCCACTTTTGAGCCACAAAATTTGAGTTACGAGACATTTTCCTATTTGCTAGGGTCGCCACTGGCAAGACCCTGCAAATGAGAGCAAAATAGCACATATTCCAAAAGATAGCAAAAGATAAGTACAAGATTGAAACGACTGAGTTAAAGGGCTCTATGTTAATGTGGTCAGAAAAGACTTGAGTTGTTAATATTATCTTTAACTCGAGGCTCTCTCTTACGCTTGCCTTGATCTTAGTCATGAGGTTGAGAGATTTCCACACTAGCTGTAACATCATCCCACTCCACATAGTGATTTCTTAGATCTTTCCACATGACACTTCATTAAATCCCAATTTTTTATTTATTTTTAATCTTAATTATCTATCTATTTTTTATATGTAAAACTAACTAGAAAACATATATTTTAGTCATTAAACCCAATGAAAAATTACATTTTAGATATTTTGCATGCACTTGCATTAACTTTGATAGCTAAAATGTATATTTTTCTATCAATTTTACTTAATAAAAATAGACAAATGATTTAAATGAAAAACAAATTAAAATATTGAAATTTAAATTGATTAAACTAAAATTTTAAGATTTATTTTATTATCATGATCAAATCTTAGAAGTTTATATATATAATTTTCTCTCTAATGGTTTAATTTTGCTAAAGTTTGATGTAAACAATGTCCTCATTTGGCATGAGATTTTTTTTGAGGTTAGGGGTTAATTTAGCTACAAAATAATAAAAGAGATTAAAAAGTTAATAAAACAAAATATTACATTCAAATTATAATCATTTCACTTTTTTCGTGACAAAAATTAAAAAAGCTAAAAAGTCCAATCCATTTAAACTTTTGAGAAGTAAGTTAAAAACTAACTTTTGACTTTTTTTAAAAAAATATGTAAAAAAATAAAGAGGTGATATGACTCAAAAGAAGTTAAAAGTCAAAAAATTGACTTTTAACTTCTTCCCAAAGAGACCTAAAATATTAAAAATTAAAAAAGTCAATCCACTTTCCAAATGAAACCATAACAACTGGTCCGGGATGTTCGATTTGTATTAGGTTTGGTTAGATTGTACTGGGATGAGGCTGATTGAGGTGTTTGTGGTTGGTTCCTGACCAACCACTGATGTTGTGTTAGCATATGATTGGGTGGTTTTATTAGCGCCAACTTAATTAGGATTGATTTGGTTCGCTATGATACTTTCTACACTCATCCTCTTTTCTTTTTTGATTTAATAGTTTTCTGTTTTATCAATAAAAAAATTTTTTTTATTGATATAAAAAAAAAAAAAAAGGAACAACTGGTCCGGGTGTCGGCGGTGGAATACTTTATTGGGGACTATTTTATTTATTTATTTGAATATTAATTTTACTGACAATTTGCACCTAAAATATTCCAAGAAAAACTCTATTGAATATAAAAATATTCTAGAAAAAACTCTCTCTAAAATCAAATCTTCTCTCTGAAGTCTAAGTTTTCTGTCGCTGCTACGGCGAGGGAGTGGTGGTGACGACATCCGATTCTCTTCCCTTTTCCCTTTCCTTTCGATTTATGTGAGTGATGTTTTTTTCAAATCTAGTCTTTTGCCCTTCGATCTGAGATTTTCTATCATTCAGCTTTCCACCGCCTTCGTGGGCTACAGATCTAAGGCCGATACCAGAATTGCTTGCCAGTCCTACATTACGGGTTGTGCGAATGTGATTTTTTGATAATTTTTTTAGTGATTTTGTATTTTGTTTTATTATTTTTTCCTTCCTTTAGGGAGGCTTTTCTTCCTCTTCCATGGAGGTGTGGGTTTGTCTTTGTTGTTGGTGACCGCAGTATCACTACAGGAGCCAATTCCGTGACTTTTGGCGACTAAATTAGTTTTGGTAGCTAAAAGTGGTCGGCAAAAATACTTTTTCTTGTAGTGTATGTTGCAGATATAGTTGTTGGTTGGTGGCCACAATATGTTGTGGTTATGGTTGTTGGTTAATGATTGCAGTATGTTGCTGTTAGGTATTCAAGTATTCGGGTTTGAAATATTGAACCTTGATTAAAATTCCTTCTAAAGTTAAAGATAATCACTTTTGATATATTTATTTCTGTCTTTCAATGAAATCTAATTTTGGTAAAAAAAAAAATTAACATTCTTGTAAACTCAAATGTGACGTGTCAGCATCTATCAAACATTATGGTTCTCTTGGTCATTTTAACTTGTCTTTGGAATAAGTTGGTTTTGAGGCCGACCTCAATAATGAGATTTTTTTTTTTTAATTTGTTAAGTAAAATATTTATATAAAAATTAAGATAATCAAGTGTCGGTTGTTATATATTTAAAATATTTATATTATAAAAAATGAATGGTTACTCTTAAAATTATAATTATCTTCTATTTTTTTAAAATAAATGTGATTCAAATATAACTATCAATATCTGATTATCTTAATTATTTTGCGCAAATATTTTACTTAACAAAATGTGATTCAAACATATAATTACCGATACACGATTATTGTAATTTTTTACATAAATATTTTACTTAATGAGTACAAAAAAGTGAATGTTTTGATCACCAATATTGACCCTAAAATGGGACAACCATACCTAAACGTTCTCCAATCCCTAATATTATATAAACTAATAAATCATATAAAAAAATTATTATTTAATGATGCGACACTTGTCACATTATTAAGTGAATCATGTCCAAGAATAATATTAGAAATCTACGCATTTAATTTACAAATTCATCCATAATGATGTGATAAAGGAATAGAGTCCTTATAACAAACTAAAAATTGACGCCTATCATTATGAGTAGAATTATAGAGGTTATTTTGGATTCCAAACATTTTCCTACATATTTAATGTGCATGAACGCTGGGCAGAGTAACGTTACGTGAATTGATTGGTAGACACCCAAATAAATAAATAAAAATGTTGAGCAGATTATTTTAATTGATACTAGAGGAACTCTATAAATATAGTTGTCATTTTAACCTGCTGGGAATAACAAAAACAGCCTCTCTCTCTCTCTCTCTCTCTCCATTTATTTTCTTTTGTTGGGTTTGGCCTTACTGGCCTTTATTCTCTTCTTCCTTTTGTTGGAGATGTAGACTTGATTTTTCAGATAAACCATTTCTGATCCATTAAAGTTTCTTTTCTTGTAGCATTTCTGATCCATTATAGTTTCTTCTATTTCCTCTTTCAACTTTGCTACCCTTGTTCAAACTCAGATCAAATCAATGGCATCTTCTTCAGCACCTTCCACGGAGGAAATTCGCCAACCAGAAGGTCTCTCAGCTGCTTATGATTCAGACGTAGTTACATATCTTGAATTACTTTCCTTCATGAAAACTGATCAGATCATACCATTCAAAAGCATCAACGACGTGATCATCCCTGCTTTGCTCAATAATATGTTCAAAGGCAAGCGTAACAGCGACAATGATATCCCTCCAGTGCAACAGCTGTTTGATAAAGTCCAGAGAGATCTTGTTGACATCAATGGAACCTTCAAGAGACTCAAAGAATGGGAAGATCGTCTTGACACGCTTACGAAAAGCTTAATTCTCTACGACTGGGAAGGTTTCTGCAGTATTGAAAGAACAAAGTCAGCTGAGGATTTACAGAAGGCACTTTCTGATATCAACAAGATGGTCTCAGATTTGAAAGTCCATACTTCCTCAGCTCAATCTTTCAATCCTAGCCCCTCCAACTCCGACCTTTCGATACCCGGTAATGAGATCCCAAATCCAAGATTGAGTGAAAATTTCTCCGACACTGACTTCTTCATTAGTTTCCAAGCACGTTATGATAGCTTAAATTGGGAACAGAGGCGGTGTTTGTTATATCTCTCAATCTTCCCGGAAAGTTCTATTATCAGGAAGAAGGTCCTGACTTACTTGTGGATTGGAGAGGGATTCATAGACTCCACAACTACAGGTGATGGGTTATTTGAACAGTTAGCTACAAAGGGTTTCATTGAACCTGTTGAAGAAAAGGGCATTGGGGACTTCAAATCTTTCAAGATAAATCCACTTATTCGTTTAGCATTGATTACACTTGCCCGGCATGCTGACTTCTTTGATTTTGATTCTGACGATAACCCTACTGTCGATTTCACCAGGTCTTCCAGAGCATGCTTGCTAAAAGAAGGATCATTGCAGCGGCTATCCACGCAAGCGAATCACGAGAAATTGGAAGTGTTGTTCAATGTCGGTGAGAGTTACCTCGACTTCCCAAGCGAGTGTTTTTCCAAGATGAAGAGGATCGTTGTTCTTCATTTGGGAAATTGGAGTTGCTCCGGAGACAATATCATCGAAGCAGAGGGTGCAGCACTCCTAGAAGGCTTAAGCGACGTGAGACTTCTGAAGTATTTAAGCCTCAATGGGATCTCGGGAATCACAGAGCTTCCAGGTTCCATTTGCAAGCCCGACTGCGATCTGATGATCCTGGACCTAAAAGCCTGTTGGAATTTAGACAAACTACCCAATGAGATAGGCTCACTCACCAAGCTGACACACTTGGATATGTCTGGATGTTACTTGATAGACAGCATGCCCAAGGGACTCGCCTCGCTCCAGGATATCCAAGTCCTCAAGGGTTTTGTTATTGGCAGTCCGAGGACCAAAGGTCAGTGCACACTTTCTGATTTGGAAAAACTAGAGAAGTTGAGGAAACTTGGCCTCTATGCAAACAGAAAGACCACTGGTGAAAAGGGGGAGCTGAACTGTTTGTCAAACTTTAAAGTGCTGCGTATACTGACAATATCATGGGCTATAGTTTCTTCAGAATCCAAGTCAGGAAAGGGTGTTGTGCATAAGATATTGGCAAACGCGAAGAAGCACAATAGGGCAGTCCAGACACATGAGGCTCCTGCCAGTCCCAAGTCTATAGAGAGTCATACAATTCAGATGTACTCCGCCTCACCATCGAGAACTACGAGTGTGACATCACTTCCCGCTAGCTTAGAGAAAGTCGACCTGAGGTGTTGGCCTTTGTCGAGGATGCCCAATTGGATGCAACCCTGGAAACTCAAAAGCCTAAAGAAACTCTACATTAGGGGAGGATCGATTTCAGATTTGCAGATTCTACAACCGGAGGAATATGATTCACCGCTATGGACAGTCAAGATTTTACGTCTTAAGTTCTTGAGAGAACTAAAGATGGATTGGCCAGCACTGACCACAATGTTTCCAACCTTGGAGTACTTGGAGAAGGTGAATTGCCCAGAGCTCTTGTCCTTCCCACCTGGGGAGGTGCTGAGGCTGGGTGAAATCAGATCCGAAGCAGGCACCAGTAGATAAGAATAATAAATCATACCATGAACTCCTGATCTCAATTATGTTTTTCTCAGTAGATTGTATGTGAGTGTGAGTGTGAGTGTAAGTGTGAGCGTGAGTGTCTTTGGTTGAAGGCTTGGAGTGATTTGGGTTTATGAGTTTCGATGAGTTTGTGTTTCTGTATACATAGCAATGTTGTTTCAAATTCTCTAAAATGAACTCTTGACGTGTTATCATATACAAATATGGGTAAATTACACTTACACCCCTGAGATTTGAGTTTAATACATATCACTCCTTAACGTTTGAAAAATTATATTAACTCTTGTCATTGTAATTATTTAGACAGAATGAAGACATTGAACTCATACACTCTCTCTTTTCTTACTTTGCTTTACTTCCTTTTTTTTTTTCCTTTCCTTTGCTTTATTTTTTTTTAAAATGTAATTTCTTATTTTTTTTACTAGGAGATGTTGCCTTTTATATAAGTAGTGGAGTTTATGAAATGAGACTATTAATTACAGGGGTAAGAATGTAATTTTTAGAACGTTAAGAGATAAGATGTAATTAGATTAAATCTCAAAAAATCTCAATGTAATTTACCGTCCAAATATATATGATGTACATATATACATGCACGAAATTTATGCACTTTGAAGTTTTACATCTTCAGTAAAGGAGATTTCATTTAAATCATTGAATGGGTTGAGAAATCAACATTGAAACTTAATTTTGGTTTTTTTAATCATTTTTATAAACTAATTCATGCATAAAATAATAATTTACTAAAGTAATTTATCACATGCTGACAAGACCCACATCGTTACTTGATTTTATATAAAATCTTAAATCAATTTGTTACTTTGATATGCTATATAAATAGATTCTACAATTAACTTTTTAAATTAATTAATACATTTATGTGAATGTTATAAATTAACTTACCCTTCTAATTGACATAAATTTTGAAAATTAATTATTCATAAAATTGTAAAGAACACCACCTTTGAATTGTATCGCTTTGAATGTTAAATGATGGTTAAAAATTTACATTTACATAATATCACCACAAAAATTAATAATATTATCATAAAATGTATAACTTCATTTTTAAATCACAAATTATCGTAATTGTAACAAAAAAATTACCTTAACATTTACCTCAATGTCTTGCTTTTCTCATGGATTGTTTTAGGAATCCTGTATTCTAATTTAAAACCCTAGAAATTCTAATACTGAAATGAATCAACAGAAATTTAATAACGACATAAAAGAGGAACAATCAAACAATCTAATGCATTAGTATCAAAATCAATACGAAATTAACGATTGACATGGAGAACACAGGGACGACTCACAAACAGCGGATCAAAATATCACCAATGGGCTAACCGGAATGAACATCCGCAGCTGCGCCGATAGAAGAAGAGAGCGAGTGAATATTTATTTCAAAATATTTATTCACATCTATTTTGAGATATTGTTTGGTACAGTTTTTGAATCATAATTCTACCTTTTAGTTTGAGTGCAGTGTTTGTTTATAGTTTTCAAAACACATTTCCAAACCCGCGCTTGAAAATTCGTGTACCCGGATGTCCAGCCGGTTGACTAGAACAGTGTTCTTGAATTTTTTTTTTTTTTTCACTTGTTATTTTTATATTTTAAATAAAAATATTTTTGAATTTTTTATAAGTTTTGAATAGAATTTTGAGTTGTGTATTTGGTTGTAAGTTTTTTTATCAAAAATTATGTCACATCACTCAATTCAAAAATTCTTTTCAAAACTCATTCACCAAACAAATGTTCTACACTGAAAGCATAATTTCAAAACTCATAAACTCAAAATACAACTCATATTCTCAAATCATATTTAAAAAACTCTACCAAACACAACCTAAATTTTGCCCGCTCTTTCATTTTAGTTTATTTCAAAATATTTATTCACATCTATTTTGAGATATTGTTTGGTACAGTTTTTGAATCATAATTCTACCTTTTAGTTTGAGTGCAGTGTTTGTTTATAGTTTTCAAAACACATTTCCAAACCCGCGCTTGAAAATTCGTGTACCCGGATGTCCAGCCGGTTGACTAGAACAGTGTTCTTGAATTTTTTTTTTTTTTTCACTTGTTATTTTTATATTTTAAATAAAAATATTTTTGAATTTTTTATAAGTTTTGAATAGAATTTTGAGTTGTGTATTTGGTTGTAAGTTTTTTTATCAAAAATTATGTCACATCACTCAATTCAAAAATTCTTTTCAAAACTCATTCACCAAACAAATGTTCTACACTGAAAGCATAATTTCAAAACTCATAAACTCAAAATACAACTCATATTCTCAAATCATATTTAAAAAACTCTACCAAACACAACCTAAATTTTGCCCGCTCTTTCATTTTAGTTTATTTCAAAATATTTATTCACATCTATTTTGAGATATTAAATTTTATTAAATTTTTAAAATTGTCTTTTATAAATCATTATGAACACATTTTAAAATTAAAAAAGAATGGTAATGATAGAAAAAATATTTCAAAATTTAATTTAAAATATAATGATTGCATGTCACCTTCATAAATTGAATTTTCTGTAATTGACAAATAAATTGGGACAGATGGAATAATAAATAAGATATAAATTTTTTTAATTAAAAAACGGTTTAATATAAAATTAAGGACACTTTGACTTTGATCAAAAATCTAATTTTAGAACTTTTGGGATAGCGCACGCTTCTCTAAAATGCGAGATCAGATTAGAGCGTGCTATTGGGCCTGTAAAGGCCCACCACGGATCCTGTTTCGATAATCTAAATTGTTCAATGTACACAACTCGTCGATTATTTTATTCTTGTAAACAATTCCGTTGATCGGGTATTGATAGCTATTTGATCAAATCAGATTTCTGTCAACGGTAAATATAATTTCAAAATAATTTTTTTACAAAAATCTGATCCAATCAAATAGTTATGAATATCCAATCAACATGATTTTTTTAGAGATAAAGTACTCAATGAGTTCTATATTTTCAACGGATCGGACTATCGAAATAGGACCCATGATAGGCCTAATGTGCCTAATAGCATCGCCCAAGCTTGATCCTTTGGGATAAATGGTCTGAACTTTTAGAGAAAGGTAAATTACAATCACCTCCTTAAGATTTCTGACAATTACATAGGCCTCTCTTTTTTTTTTTGAAATTACACTAATCTCTCCTAAGGTTTATTTTTTATTTGCACGTTAGTTTGACTAATCGTTTTTAATTTTTCATATTTTTTTTTGTGAAAACTAGTAATTAGTTGTTAGATTATCATGTAGGAGGAATTCTAGGTTGGTTTATATAACATTTGAAATGATAATCTGTAAATTAAGAATAAAATAAATCAATTAATATTTTTTAGGTAAACAAATTAGTATAAATTATTAAAGCCAAGAGAGAAATATAAAAACTTATATGTATGTAATGCAATAAATTATATATATATATATATATATTACAGTTAAACCATATGAGTATTTAGAAATAAATTATTTAATACAACTCAAATAAATGCATGTGTTGTTCTAATTTGATTTTTATTAATTTAGGTAATGAGACTCATCTGTTAGACTTATTTATTTTGATAATTTATTTAATTATGTTTTAATTTATTTAGAAGAGAAAAATAGAATCAAAATTTATTTTAATGATTTATTTAATTATGTTTTAATTTGTTTGAAAGAGAAAAATAAAATCAAAATTTATTTTGTCCCATTATTTCTCACCTAAACTTTTATCCTAAATGTTGTTAAAATGTATTTAATATTTACATAAATCAAGAGCTCATTTCAAACCAAAAGCAGAGGTTCAAACAGTCCAAAATAGCAGTTCAAACAGCCCAGCACAGCAGCAGTTCAAACAGTTCAAAACTTCCAAGCACCGGACGTCCGGGTGGACATCCGGCCGATCATCGGGTCGAACAACCGGCCAAGGTCATTTTGCCCAGTTTTGCTTCATTTTGAACTTTTCTCTCAACGGCTCTGAGCTACAACGGCTATTTTTCAAAATAAAGATGTTCTCAAGTGAAGCTTGAGGAGTGGACGTAGACCGAGTTGAAACCGAACCATTATAAATTTGTTTGCCTCTCTCTCTCTTATCTCTTTATTTTATTTTAAATTGCCGTAGCTATATTTCACATTTTTACTGTGCTAAAATCATTAACTAACATACATAGTTGTTAGAACACTTGTTTTAATTATTTTTATTTCATTAACTATATTTATCTATTGTGCTAGTCATAATTTTTTTATTAGAGTATTATTATAATAAATTGTAAAAACCTAATTCACCCCCCTCTTAGGTTGTCTTTTGGATAACAATTGGTATCAGAGCCTAGACTCTGGCTTTAGATTTAACCATCTGGGAGTTTCGATCCATGGCAACCTTAGCTAGCACTAGCACTGCTGAAGGACAAGCAGCCACCAATAGGCCACCATTGTTTGATGGAAACAACTATAGTCATTGGAAAGATAAGATGACCCTATACCTACAAGCCACTGATTATGCCATGTGGATTATTGTCACCAAAGGTCCAAAAATTCCTACCAAATTAGTAAACGACATTAGTGTACCTAAAACAGAAGATGAATGTGATGAAAGGGATCACAAATTATTGCAAGCCAATGCTAAAGCCAAACTCACCCTTGTTTTGTGTATTAGACTCTAAGGAGTATAATAGAATTTCAAGTTGTGATTCAGCAAAAGAAATTTGGGATAAACTTGAGGTAACATATGAAGGTACAAACCAAATGAAGGAATCTCGGATTGATATGCTTATTTATAGTTATGAATTATTTAAAATGAACTTTAATGAATCTATTTCAAGTATCTTTACTAGATTTACTAAAATTGTAAACTCTTTGAAATCTCTTGGCAAAATTTATACTAACAGTGAGTTGGTGAGAAAAATTCTTAGGTGTTTACCAAAGAATTGGGAAGCAAACGTCACCACTATTATAGAAGCCAAAAATCGCTCCACACTCGGATTAGATGAGCTTAT